CAGCTTCCGAGGAGGAGCAGGCCTTCTTCTTCTTTCTTCTTCTCCTCAAAGGCGACTCTCCCCTCACCTCGTTCAGGGGAGATACGTCAAGCGCCTCGGACTCTTCCCTCAGACGCTTCTCTTCAGATCGACCCCCAGACAAGTCTAGTTCGATCACAGGGGTGGGGACTGCAGAAGAAGCCCCAGAGTTACCCTGAGCCTCAGTCCGTGGCACCGTAGGCGTCACCGGTTTAGTCCCCACCACGGTCTTGAGGGCGTGAGCACGGCCCTTGGACTTGCACTTCACACTTCCAGTGAATCCGCACATCATTGCTGCAAAATAAACAAGCATAAAGTTAGAGATCAAAGGAAAGATAAAATTGAAACCTAGGCCGAGCACGACTTACCGAGTTCAGAGTTCGGCCTTGAAGCTTTGATTGGTCGAACTAGAGGGTTGTAATCAAGAAGCCCCGACTCCAAGAGAAGCTTGTCGGTGACCAAGGTTCTGATCTTCCTGCCCTTGGGGAAGTTGTCCTTGTAGTACTTGAGAGTGTCAAAGGAGGCTTGAGCGAGTTCCGGAATCGGCTTAATCGATACTGCACAAAACAAACCAAAGTTTGAGTTAGAGTGAAAATCAAGAAATTAAAAGGAAAGAAAACAAGATAGACTTCATACCTAAGTTCCCAAACCTAGTGGGAACATCAAAAAAGGCACGATCAGACTCGTCCTTTGCCAGCCACTCTCCCGAGGCAAAGAACCACTTTCCTACCCATCCCTTGATGGAGGTCGGCCCCTTAACTATGCCACATGCGCCTTTCCTTGCGCACATGTAGTACCAACCAGGCTTCGAAGCATCCAAGCAGTTGCTCAACACTTAATAGCTCGACCTCGTCCTCATCCCGAGCTCGCAACCAAAAAAGGATGGCTAAGGCAAAAATGACACCCCACCCAGAATCGCTGGGCGGCGAACTACTTATGGTCCGACCCGTACTACCTATGCTATCACTACTAGAGGGGGAAGACAAGAAAACTACCATGTTTGAAAGAAGAGTAAGAACAAGGAAAAGCGACTGACCTACAGAAATGGTTCGAGCTGGTTTCAGAT